TATATATATATATATATATATATATATATATATATATATATATATATATATATATATATATATATAGTTTTCTCAGAGCCCATGCAACTGTTTATCGCGAAGTCGCGGTATTATATATATACATATAAACATATATAATCAAAATTCCAGGCAAAATAATAATATTTCTACAAAGATTACGTCTTATTTATTGAACTGAATTAAAAGCAATTTTACATAGTAAAAGTACCTGCAAAAATGAAGCGGAGCATCCAACAATATGAGGAGAAAACGATACTGAATAGTTATTATTACGACATCGAATCTTTCTGCAAAGTTTATTTCTTTCTACCTGCGTCAAATTAATAACCCTTTTGCATGGTGAAAGTACGTGCGAAAATGAAGTGGAGCATTCATCAATATGAGACGAAAACGATAATGCACAGTTACTATTACGAAACCGAAACTTTCTGCAAAGTTTACTTATTTCTACCTGCGTTGAATTAAAAACCTTTTTGCATGGTAAAAATACGTACGAAAATGAAACAGAACATTCATAATATGAAATGAAAACGAGAAAAAATCTATTTTTTTCATACATATTTATGATATATCTCTAAGTGATTATATATCTATAATATATCTATATACGGAGACGATCGTCAAAATATTACATTTGATAAGCGCCAACATGTTCGCTCTACCATTGCGCCGAATTATGATTTCATATATCGTCCCTTCATAAATGTTATGCAAGTGTGTGTGCTACGTTGTCATTTCAATTTTCTTACACAGACGTTACGTAAGTGTAAAACGCCACGTTGCGCTTATCAAATATTCTCAATTCCGTATATAGATATATTATAGACATATCATCACTTAGAAATATATCATAAACATGTATGAAAGAATAGATTTTTTCTTATCGTTTTTGTCTCATATTGATGGATGCTCCGCTTCATATTCGCATGTATTTTCACCATTCAAAAGGGTTTTTAATTTGACGCAGGTAGAAAGAACTTTGCAGAAAGATT